GGGGGGCTCGGGCTCAGCCTCTGGGCGCGCCCTGACGGCAGCCAACGCGCGGGGACCCGGGCGTGCGTGAGAGCCGGCTGGAGAGGTGGCGGGAGCCTCTGACTTCCCGCGGCTCGCCCGCACCTGTTTCGAGACTACATTTCCCGGCGTGCCCGGCGGCCGTGGGCTCGGAGCATGCGCGCTGCGCCGGCCTACCGGGATGGCTGCGGTGGGAGGGCGGCGGGGCTGGGGGAAGTTGGGCGGGGCCGCGGGCAGAGTGCAGGGGAGGGCAGTCCCCAGAGCAGGAGTGCACCGGGGCGCCTGCCGGCATAAAGTTAGTGTATGTGGGGGGCCTCGCCCCGGTGCCCGGGTTGTGGGCTTTGGTCCTCAGCCCTCCCTCCGTAAGTCATCCTGCTGAAGGAGGAGACCCGTTGATCTAGCTGGCTGTTCTCAGGGTAACGTGTCTTCCACGCTTTCGCTTCTCCTCTCTGCGGACCCTGGGCTAGGCTTTGCATCTTGCACCCTTGGGGCCCCCTGGCCCGCTGGACAGACCCTTGGGGTTGTGTTGGGGGGAGATTCCTAGAAACGGAACCTGCCTCCTTTCTCCTTCTGATTCCCCGGGAAAGGGGCCTCGGAGCCACAGGCCTTCTCTGATCCCGCCAGTTAATGGACTTTCCGGCCCCTTCCGCCTGCAGCTGCGGTTTCTTAAGCCCCGAGAGTCCGACTTTCAGAGGAGGGCTGATGCTGACATAACTAAGTCACGGGGAGCAACCGGCTTTCCACGCTTGGGCAAATTGTATTGGATCTCTTAAGTTCAAGCCATTGTTCTTAATGGGCTTTTTGTCTTGTTCAATATGACCCGTTCTCCGATAGACGTAATGTGTAAAATACCTGGAGAGCAATAAAATCTTTAGGATGCTAATTCAGAGTCCCCACATTATAATAAGTTAGGCTTTATTTTTCTTTGGTTTTGTCGAGACAGGGTTTCTCTTTTTGTAGTCCCTCATACTTTTAGCCCAGGCTGTCCTCGAACTCAAGATAGTCTTGCCTACTCTGCGATGCCATCCTGACCTTGTGTTAGAGACTGTATGTATGCAAAGCCTGGGGTGGATAGGGCAGTTGAGTACTTGATGTCATTGAATACTAGTCTTTCTCTCCTTTCTCCTCTTGCCCTGAGGATGGAATCCTGGACTACTCACCTCCTTGTGACATCTGTCTGCTGCAGAATGACATCCCAGTTCTGTGTGAATTACGCATATAATTGTTGAGCTCTGCTCAAGGCATTAGAGATAACAGGATAATCAATCAGGGAGGAAAACCTATCCTTTTAGAGCTTATATTTTAGTGGTAAGAGACGCGCAAAATGCCACGTGTAGTATGTCAAAGTAAAAACGAAAGGAAGAGGAGTGAAGGCCAGTGGGAGCTGGGAGCTACAGTTTTCCAACAGGTCCTCACTGTGAAGGAAGTGAGAGGTTACCTTGTGGGCATTCCAGGGAAAAAGAAAGTGCAATAGCCTGAATTAGGCTTCTCATAGTTAAGAGCAACCTGGAAGGGCCATTAAAGGCAGAGAAAATGAGGCAGCTAGTGGAGACCAGAGAGTCTGTGCAGGATTTGTTGACTGTTTTGGAAATTTGGTGCACCATCCTCAAGAGTTGGAAAGCTATTGGAGACTGGTCAGAGAAACAACTTTATTAGAATAATCCTTATCCCACCACTCAGGAAGGCAGAGGCAGGCAGATCTCTGTGAGTTCAAGGCCAGCCTGGTCTACAGAGTGAGTTCCAGGACAGGCACCAAAACTACACAGAAAAACCCTATTTCAAGAAACCAAAAAAACAAAACAAAACAAAACAAAAAACAAAACTTAAAAATTGTAATATACACACATATGAATAATATAATTTGCCATCTTAATAATTTTAAGTACATTCAGTGATACTATATCTTCATGTGCAAATATCATCACTATCTACTTCTAAAATATATTTTTCATTGTTGTTGCTTTGGGTTCTTGTTTGTCTTTGGATGCTGGACATTGCTCATGCTACATATCTTTTACTGAGCCACACCCTAGCCCTATTTCCAGAACTTTCTCTTCATCCTAAGGAGGAACTCTGTAACCATGGAGCAATAACTTCATGGCTTCCTCTTCCCAGGCCCCCAGAAATTTGTGATAGATCTTTTCTCTTATGAATCCACCCATTTCAGATATTTCATGTAAATAGAACCATACATATTTGTCCTTTCATTTCTGACAGACGAGGCTCAGTGTGCTGCCAAGGTCCATCCATGCCGGGGTGTTTAGCGGAGCTGAGTCCCCGTTTTGAGGGTGAGTTACATTTCATCGTGTATGTGTACCACATTTTGCTTATCCTTTAAACTATTGATAGATAGGTTGTTTCCGCCTCTTTGTTGTGAATTCTGATGCTCTGAATGTTGTGTGCATATCTGTGTCCCTGTTTTAATTTTTTTGGCATATGTCTGTATATGGGAATGGACTTTCTGGAGTACATGATAAGCTTTTTAAGTAACTGCTGAACTTTCCCACAATGGTAATGCACAGGTGTCTCAATTTCCCCACATCCTTGTCAAAACTTATTCCCCTACTTTTTATTCTCATTGTAGTCCTCTTAGAGGGCTATGTGGGGTAGTATCTTATTTCTGTTTTGATTTGTATTTCTTCAATGACTAATGTCATTGAGTGGCTTTTCATGCATTTAGTGGATACTAGTCTTTGACAGAGTATGTGTTATAGTCCTTTGCTCATTTTCAAAATTGAGTTTTTTAAATTGTGGAGTTATAGGAGCTCTTCATCATATTACATATAATGACAGTTTCATATTGATATATATAATTTGCAAATAACTTTATCATATTTTGTGCTTTTTTTTTTTTACTTTGGGGGGGATTTTGAGATAGGGTCTTGGTATGTAGCCAGGCTGTCCATGAATTCAAGATTCCCCCTGCCTCTGTTTACCAATGCTGGACACTTCTTTACTTTTTCATTATGTTAATTCCCAAAGTTTTCAATTTTGATATGTTCAAGTTCTTTATATATTTGTACCCTTGTTATTATATCTAAGTAATTTATTACCACTTCCAAAGTCATGATTTTTTTCATTCATATTCTTTTCTAATTTTATTTTATTTTTAGGTCTAGCTCTTTTATTTGAATTTGTATTTAATTTGAGTTAAGGGTTCAACTTCACCCTTTTACATGTGGAAATGTAGCTTACAAGTGAACAAGTTTTGTTTTTGTTTTTAAACCTGCTTGGTTAAATTTATTTCTAGGTATTTTATTAATTTAAATGCTGTTGGAAATGGTATTGCTTTCTTTCTTTTACATTATTCATTTTGATATAGGAAAACAGCAGATATTTGTGTGTTAATCTTGAATTCTTCAACTCTGTTGATTTTTTTTTTTTTTTTTTTTTGGTTAGGTTTAGTAGCTTTCTTGTCAGTTCCTAGGGTTTTTATGTATAGGATTGTGCTATCTGTTAAGATAGAAAAGGTTTACTTTTCTAGTTTAGATGCTGTATTAGTCATGGTTATCTAGATCAGTGGTTCTCAACCTTCCTAATACTGCGACCCCTTAATACAGTTCCTCATGTTGTGATGACCCCAACCATAAAATTATTTTCGTTGCTACTTCATAGCTGTAATTTTGCTACTGTTATGAATTATAACGTAAATATCTCATATGCATATGGTTTTAGGTGACCCCCGAGAAAGGGGCATTTGATCCCTGAGGGGGGTCATGACCCACAGGTTGAGAACCACTGATGAAGAGCTTGTTGCGATTGGAAACAAGGTCGTCACCTGAGGGTGAAGATGGGGAAGGAGGTTTACGGAGAGGGAAATGTTATGAAATTGTTATCATAGGGAGGGACGGTAGTAAATAGGTAAAGGGAAAACTGCAGATTGCCAGGAAGTACAGATGATTCCCTTCGAGTCAGACGTTTAAAGGGAAGACCAGTCAATTTGAGTGTTTTTTTTTTTTTTTTTCCTAACTAATTCAGCAGCATCTGTGTAGGCAAAGGGGATGGAAGAAACTTCCTTTCATTTAGTTAGGGTTAGTTTTGTAGGAGAGAGTAGAACCAAGAAGGGCGCTGAAGCCAACCAAGGGAGTGTGCAAGGGAGCAGTTAAAGCTTTGGAATTCCAGCTGGTCACCAAGACGTGTAGACGAGAGTGACGCCCTCCTGCCTGCTCTCAGCGCTCAGGAAGGTTGAAACGGAGGTACACGTGAGGTCAGCCTGGACAACATAGTGAGAGCCAGGCTGACCTGGGTTGCAGAGTGAGATGCTCTCTCCAAAAATAAAATTACAATTAAAAAAATTAAAAACAAAGTAGAAACTACCCAGGGGTTGAGGACTGTGAAAACCACTGGATTACAGATGATGGGGGCGGGGAACCAAAAGATTCTTGGAGTTGAATTTCTTAGGGGAGATAAGCTTGAAGGGTAGGACTGTTGGTTACAGAATGGTGGCGCACCCCTTTAATCGCAGCACTCGGGAGGCAGAAGCAGGCCGATCTCTGAGAGTTCGAGGCCAGCCTGGTCTACAGAGTGAGTTCTAGGACAGCCAGGGCTACACAAAGAAACCCTTTCTGGAAAAACCAAGAAACAAATAAATGACAAACTAACCAACCAGAATGGGATATGTAGAACTTAGATTGTGGGGTAATTCATTTCCTCTTAATGACAAGAATTGGAGGACAGGTAGTGAAAAATGGAAGACAGTGTCTCCCTTGGATGTTTTACAACACAGGTTGTGGATGAGGGAGGAGCCAGGAGAAAGGGTAGACTGGAGATAAAAATGGCTGTGATAATGATGGTGATAGCCAATAATCCCAGATATATTGTCAGGAAAGCTACTGTGACCTAGTATTTTCCTATCTAGAAATTTATCCTATGGAAGTAATTGTTAAAGAAACCCATATGCCCAAGGAAGTTCACTGAAGTTTATCTGTAGTGAAAATATTGGGTAACCTGTCTTTAGAGAAGAGCAGAGTCATGGTAGCTAAAGAAAAGAACTTTAGACAGACTTTAAGAAATTAGATCAAGACTTGTGATTAGGGCTGGACATGCAGTTCAGTGGTAGAGCATGTGTCTAGCGTGCAGAAAGCCATAGGTTTGATAACTAGTTCAATATAAAAAAAGATGGCTACCAGGTATTTATTAAATATTCTTACTGACAAGAATATTTTCAGTGGAAAAACCAGAGTCAAATTGACTTCAGCCACAGCCAGTTATTTGTTGGCCTCTTATAAGCTGCTTCCTGAAGCAGGGTGGCCTCCAAACATTTGGGCTTTGACTATCTTTCTGACCATGCTTTATTGCCTACTATGAAGCCATTTTCATGGTGGGCACCTCTATGGTTGAAAGATTGGCTTGCGTCAATCTTGAATATACAGTTCTTCATTCACATCTAGCCAAAAGTAAATTGTCCTTCTTCTTAGCGTGGAAGTAGAATCCTAAGTATTGCTGCTGTTGGACTCCCTTGGAACTAGTGATTATAGCCAGAGGACAGTGGACCAGAGAACTGAGACCTGGGTTATGTTTATTATCCCTGAACAATTGTCATGAGTAATTCCTGCTGGTCTTAATTAGGCTTTACTTTGGTACTGCTGATGAGATTAGTTCTAGGCAGAAAGTTTTAGTGCTAGTGCATTTAGGTTAGGAAAGGCTAAATTTTGGAGAGTAGAGTGTTTTTAAAATGTATTGTACACGGTGGGCCTGTTACCCTCTTTCTTAGTATGTACCCATGCATATATTTACTTTTTGTGGTGGTGGAGATTGAATCCAGGCAGTCTGTCACTCACAGAGTGATGTCACTAGCCCCCAAGGGTTGAGATAACCAGTCTCCTTTTCCTCCTTTCTTTCTTTTTACCTTTTATTTACTTTAAGAAAAGATTAAACTTTTTTGATACATTTGTTCTTGGGATGCCAATTTGAAAAGGTACGAAGCAGTACTTACTATTTATTTTCAGATTTATATCATGGCTGGCTTGCATGAAAGATGTAGATGGGGTGGGAGAAGGAAAGAGAAGACGAATGAGAAAATATCCTGCTTGATAAGAAACAAGTTATAGAGTGTTGAAGCAGGTTCACATACCTGACGCTCAGTCTCATTCTGTCCCCTGTAAGGTCACCTGGTGACTGGTACAGATTCTCCTAGGTGCTTTGCCTTTGTGTCTATAGCCAGACTGCTGTGTCTGTGGGTTCCATATTTGCATATTTTACTGACTATGTCAACTGGAGCTTTTGGAGGTGAAACGTTTTGATATCTCCTATAGTACACCTTTTAAAACAGTGGGGCCAGTTCTTGCAGTCCTGCAAATTATCTATCTTTAAATTCAACTCGTAAAAATTTGTCAATGCTGGTATATCAAAATTATTATCATAGCCAGTTTTGTTGGCCTCATTTATTGAAAAACTTGTTCTTTCTCAAAGATTAGAGACGCCTCCCAAGTTTCAATATTTTCCCTGCCTGGAGCTGACCATGTCTTCCTTGTGCATTCATTCTCTGATGGGCGCTCATGTTATTCCCATTTGGCCATTGTGAAGAATGCTGTGAACATGGGAACGGGTGTATCTCTAGGGTGCCGATTTCATTTCATTTCTGGTGTATCCAGCATGGAGACTGTGGGATGATATGGCTCATTTATTTATGTATTTATTATTTCAGTACCAGACAAGTCTCTACCACTAAGCTTATTCTTTTTATGAGAGGATGCCCTGTTTCTCCAATGCCACTTACTGAATTCACTGTTGGGCTTTTCTTACCAGTCTGGCAGTGCTGAATTTCAGCCCATTGCAGAGCTTTGTATCCTAATGTTAAACATCAGTCTCATTTAGTTATCATTTTCTGAAATTGCAGCTGAATTATTTTGTTTCTTAGTTTTGTTGTTGTTGCTGTTGTTGAAAGTTTTGAACTGTTTTTCCAGTGCTGGGGTCGTAGCCTAGGGCTTTGTGCATACTCGGCAGGTGCTCTGCCATAGAGCTTCATCTTCATCCCATGTTTTGAGATGAGGCCACTGTTTGAATGTAGCCCAGGCTGGCCTTGAACTCTTGATCCTTCTCCTTCTGTCTTATGAGTGCTGGGGTTACAGGCATCTTCCAGTACCCTCAGTAGAACTTTCTATTTTGAAGGTACAAAACTTACTACTCTATTATTTATGGTTGTTTGTTTATTCAAACAATTTATTTTTATTCAGCGTAAGAGATTAAAGAAAAGATCTGACAACACAGTTTTATTTTTAGTTGTATTTATAGATCAATTAGAATGCTATTATGGAAAGCTTCAGATAGACCTAGACCTAAATGGTAA